AGCCAAACACCACCGAATCATTTGCTCTTCTAAAATGTGTCAGAGCTATACACTAACTAATAACCAGTTTGTTTCGCTTTTTTACTGCAACCTGCAAATAAAATAAAGTGCCACTTTTACCACGTTGTGCTGATCTAATGTTGATAATTGTACCCAGACGATTGTGTCCTGGACCGGCTCGCAAGCCAACATCTTCGAGAAGCAAAAGGTGCGCGAGATCGCCACGCTGATCCGCGACATAGACCGACACGGTAAAGCCCGCATTGTGGATGCAAACGAGGGGGAAGAGCCGGAGGAAATGATCAGAGTAAATAAGTTTTCCTGATTTGTCATCCGATTGTTTTATTCAGGAAGGATGTTTTTTTTGTTTTTTTTCCATTTCCAAGTCAATAATTACATAAAAAAAAAATCTATTTGTTTTGGTTTGGTTTTTGGGTTGTTGTTTTTTTAAAAAGCTTCTCTTTGTAGTCCTCATAAGATGTTTTTGTGCTGCTGTGCAGGTCCTAGGACAGAGTCCGACTTTGCCAGAGAGCACGCCAGAAGAGGACAGCAAAGCAGACGCCTCCAACATAGCCTCCCTCTACAAGGTAAGCTCTATATGCAGAACTATATACACAACGTTGACGTTTTATAACCACCTTTTCCATCACTGTTCACTGTATGCTCACTCATCAGGTGTCTGATGCCACCGGTTCCATGACAACAACTAAAGTGTCCGATAAGAGCCCGTTTCTCCAGGAGCTGCTGATTCGTGACGACTGCTTCATCCTGGACAACGGCTCCAACGGAAAGATCTTCGTCTGGAAAGGTGAGGAGCTGCTACTCAAACTCGAAGCAGCAAACTCGCCACCTCCTCAAATTTGATATCTGATGACATGAAATTGTAATGAACGCAGTCAGAAATAATGATTGGCAGTTTCACGAGGAGGTGAGTCTGAGGACCTGCTTACATGCGATCGGAGTAAGGGTTTCTTAAAGAGCTACAGCGGGGTTTCTACAGCTTCACACTGTCATCTCTGAACTGATCAGACAACACACCAAACGCAAATAAACATCATAGAAACATGCACTCGCCCAACATCTCATCAGGTGCACCTAATCGGTGAATCGCATGACAGCAACTCAGTGCATTTAGGGGTGTAAAGATGATCAAAGCTACTTGCTAAAGTTCAAAGTGAGCAGAAGAGCATCTCTGAACACGCAGCAAACGGCAAAAAAACTCGTTAAAAAACTGAAGCCTCAAATTTCTGCCACAACTATAGTGAGAGCAGCTCCAAGGTTGATTTTTAAAAACTGTCAGAGCGATAAAGTAGCTATTAAGGTCACCAAGTTGGCTGATGCATGTGAAAATCAGACTGTATTAACTGACCTCTTTCACATTAACTATTATAGCTCATAAAATAATAAATGCAATCAAAACCTTATTAAAGTCATTAAACACCCGTGTTTCTGTACGATTTTACTTTAGAAAAGGGCTGCTGTGGTGTAAAAGCACCACGAGCTGTTTGCTGCTTCGTATCTGGGTCAGTATTTTTTGTAAATGTGCTCGGGGACCTTTTGTTCAACAATTTGTTCATCGTGGTAGCTTGTAGCAGGGACACCACGCCTGATATCGAAAGTTACCCTGAAAGTTACTCTGTGTGCGAAAAAGCTCTCAAACAGAGCTGCTAATTAACATTAGCTCGTTTAATCATCAGGTAACGGAGCCAACGATGAGGAGAAGGACATGGCCCTGCAGATGGCGGACAAATTCATCGAACAAATGAATTACCCTCACATGAAAACACAGGTACGGCTGCTAAAAGCTGCTCATGTTAAACACCGCAAACCAGTCAAGCGTCTTTCTTTACTGTAGACAGGAAAGCTCGTGCAACCTCTTTGTTTCTATTTTTACAGCCACAGATCTGACGTGTGAGTTTATGATGTCAACTGTAAGGTCTTTTATATAAGCAGTAAGCAGTAAAGTTTTATGTGCGTTGCACTACAGGTGGAAATCCTGCCACAGGGAAAGGAGACCATCATCTTCAAGCAGTTCTTCAAAAACTGGAACTGAGCCTTTCGCTGGGAATCCTGCACATGGAGACGAGGCTGCGCATCTTGAGAGAGCACCTGTTACAAAATGCATCGTTTTGTTTTTTTTAAAGATACATATATACTGACTTGTATGTACATACTTGTAAGGCTGACAGTAAGCTGCCTCTTGCCTTGTACTTCGGTAGAATCAGAGATGTGATGCCACTTTTATAAAAAAAAAAAAGTTCCTTGTAGCAACAGAAAAAGGATATAAGGAGAAATATATAACTCAAGTAAATGAGATGTGCTTTTTTTTTTTTTTTACATTGGTTCAATGGTGTCCCAGCTTTGCCTGCATTTCAAAAATAAATGTAAAACTGTGGTTTATACAGGAGGAAGTTGTGCTGTTTTTGTTTTTACCCCCCCCAGTCATCATGTGGAGAAATTATCTGATGCTTATCAGTCACGTCTCCACCCACAACTGTGGACTTTATATAACCTTTATTCTAAACTATGCCCTTACTGCTGCCACGGCTGCACAAATATTACACCCGACTGTATAATAACACACTATTAATAATTAACTAGACCACAATAATTGGCGATTAAACAATCTGGCATTATTAAGTCGGTCACAGGGGGCATTGCATTTACTGCTGAGTAATATGTGGCATACTTTTACATAAAGGACTTTTTGAAAGGACAGTTATATATACTGTTTTACCTTTTGCCTGTTCGGCTTCAGCTGCAGGGAAATCAAATTTGTATTTTTGCACAAACACGACGTCGAGATTATTTTCACGCAACTATTAAAAAGGGGGTGAAGAGGAAACCCTAAATAATCTGAGAGGACAATATTATCAGGCCTTCATTATTCCATGTCCGTGACTTGGAGTATTCACAATAAACCAGCTGTGGGACTAAAAAATGCCAGTAATTGTTTCCTTCACTCACTTCCAAAAATGCTGTCATCATTCCTCTTTGACCAGTCCCTGTGTGGCTCCATGACCTATTTCCTACTTAGATTAACATGCCCTGGCATTTTCTCTTAATGGCTACCTGGCATAGCACAAAGGTCATTGCTTCTTTAATAATCAGCAGGCGCGTTGAAACAGACCCAAAGAATCTCCCACCTCCAGATGTCTCTCAGAGGGGATCAGCCTCTGATGCTGATGTTTATTCTGCTTTAACCAAAAACCTTTGGTTTAGTTATTTAACTACAGCTACTAAATGTTACTCAGACAGCTTTCTGATTTGTCTGCTTAGAAGCTACTCTGAGCTCTGTGTGGCCTCCCAGGCTATCACACGTCTTGTTCTCAGAGTGATTTGTGCTGGTCAGCCACTCTCAGGGAAGGACCAGGTATTTTGAATTCCCCTGATTTGCACCCAGTCTTTCTTACTGCAGACTGCTGATGTTCAAGCTCATTATAGGAGATTATGAAAGGTTGCTGTTTTTTGCTGTTGTTGTTTTAATGCAGAGATTCATTTTCAGTCAAGTATGCTTTTAAAGTCGGACTGAATCGCTGAATTTGGTTCTCTTACACCAACTGTGGAAACATTTGATCATATTTTAGGTTACACTGCTGCTGAAGGTTAGAAAATTCACCAATGTTCTCTTGCAGGATGATTTATTCAGGTTTAATCTCCACCTGACTTAAAAGGCAAACTGAAGTTTGTTCAAAAGGGGAAAAAACTCAGCGGCTAATAGTTTACACTAGATTGGTTTTATTGTATACAAACAGAAACGGCGTAAGGTTCGGCGGCTTGCATAATGACACTCTGACCTTGAAGTCACAGATAACCAGGCGGTGGAAGAAACCCACAATGATTTAGGCAAAAACTCCAGGAATAAGGACCCCACTTTAAAAATCTAATTTGGACCAAGTATAGCTGACTGTAACCTTTCTTCTTCTCCTGGTTATTAAAAGTAATCCTCTCCTTCTCATATGTCTGTTTCATTTTGCACAGTGCAGCGAGATGTAACACTGATGACTAAAGGGGAATAAAGGGCAGCGCGCTGATGATACATACAGGGAAGCATGTGTTTCTCTGACGTTTCTGCATGTAATGCTGAAGACATCCAGATGTGCATGCCTTGAGTCATTTCCAATGGAAGCTCCTATTTTTCGGCCTTTTTTGACACCATGCAATACCCTTCCAAATTGCACCCGCTCGGGACGTTATGAGTCCAGTCAATGGATGTTTTTGACATAATCAGTAACTTCTTCGACTCATAATCTGCTGTTAAGCAAAAGGAAATAAAGACATAAAAACAAATCCCACATTATGTAAAATGTAGATGTAGAACTGTAGTGTGTGGTTTTTTTGTCTTTTCAGTTCTAATAAGTATTTATTTAGCACCTTTCATCACAGAGTTACAAAGTGCTTCACGTGAAGATTTACTTAAAAACAAAAAAACAACAAAAATAATGAAATGAAAGTAATATAGTCATTCCTGAAAGATGGCTTTATACTAAGTCACTGAAGTCTTTTTAATAAGCGGGGCTGACGGTTATGTGGTGTCTTTTGCATGTTGACGTCTCTCAGAGCGCTGATGCCAACCTTACTGAACTTTTGGGAACTAATCTTAAAAGCAGTGTTCACGCCAGAAAACCAACTAATTTAAACAAACTCTACCAATTCAGTTAAATATGCAGCTAGAATAAAGTCAGAGGCTTGTTGATGACTACAAGAAGCATCTGGTTGAGGTGCAACTTGCTAGGGAACATGTGACCAAATATTAGAGCCTGTGTGGATGAGAGAAAATCCTAAATAGATTGAAATGTGTGCATTTGAAAGTCATTAAAGATCTATGCTGGATGATCATTCCAGCCCAGAAAAAGAACAGTGATGACCATGAAATTCATCCACATGATGAGTGTTATAGACAAGATGGGACCAGTTACTGTAAACAAAGTGGCGCGTCATATATCACATTTGTGTAATATGTGTCAAGGCAAAGATAAGAGTTGCTAGGATTCAGTTTCACTACAGTCAGACTGAGTCCAGTGATGCAGTAAGAAGTGAAATCACATTTTTTTTACTGTTTGGAGAATCTTTATCTTTTATGATTTTTTTGCAACAACTGAAGTTTATAAAGCACAGATACTGTAAATGACTCTTAACACTCCTGCTGCATATACAGTTTACCAACAGCCACACAGAGTATCTGTTTCCCTCCCAGTCATAACCTGAAATTTACTGCAGTCATAAAAAGAAAAAATCACGCCATTATACCCTCACGGCGCCTTCGGTTACGGAGCTGCCAGGAAACGTTTCGTGTCAGGGGATTCTGCATGCAGATTTCCTTGTCATAAAGTTCAAAGATCAAACTGAGAGAGACACAAAAGGATTAGACCAACAGCAGTGGCTGTCCAGTCTTCGCCACCAGCAGAGCTGCACCAGCGACAGGTACGACATAATAAGCTCATAGTTTGTGTATTAGTATAGTGTGTCTCTTTATACCTGAGGTCTGTGGGAGATGGTTTAATTTCAAATATGAACCATTATTTTATTTTATGAATTCACTGGCAAACATAAGGCAGGTTTGTGTTGTAATTTTCTGGTGTGTTGCTTTTTTTGTTTGTTTGCTTGTTTTTGTTCTTTTCTTTTTTTAGTGCTGATTTTCTTTTTACAGCTATGTTTTATATCTAGCTTTAACTTTTTTCTATATTTATTATTATTATTATTATTATTATTATTATCAATTTAAAGTAATTGTATTATTTTATATTTGATTACTTGTAATCCTGTATATGCATATACAGGATCACATATTTAACCTCCTAAAACCCGAACTCTTTCATGGCATTTTTAATTTCTCTTTGCTGTTTGGGCTGATTGGGACCTTATGAATGTAAAAACAAAGATTTTTTTTACCTGATTTTTCTTTCTGAGAAAAATTTGATCCACATATGAGAACATTCGCTTTAAATTTCGATAGAACAGTGGCAGTATAATGTCCTGACGCCAGGTCCTAGGAGAAAATAGTTTTAAAACTTGCAAATATATCTATATGCATGTGTGTGTGTGTGTGTGTGTGTGTGTGTGTGTGTGTGTGTGTGTGTGTGTGTGTTTAGTTCTATAATTCCATATTTTATCTTTTTCATGTGGCGTGTTTTTTCTCCACAGTGAGGAAGCCATGATGGAAATGAAAAGTATCCTAAAGCCCAAAAGAAGTACGTCTTTTTCTTCCTTTGTGTTTCATAGTGATACTTAGCACACTTTTCTTGCCCATCTGATAACTATCAACCTTTGCGTGATGCGATACTGTGCGGACTGATACAGTATCTAAAATGTTTCCATTTATCAGAGCCATAAATCTGTTACTATACTTTACACAGCCTCTGCTGGAAAGCTTTTATCTAAAGCTTGTATTTCCTGCTGCTTTTCTTAGTTTGGAAAAGCAGCATGACATTAACTGAGACTTAAAAGAGCTTTTTTTTTTTTTACCCCTGCAGAGGTGAGCATGCTGCTCTCTGGGGAGGACGGCAGCGCCACCCAGAGCAGTTCCATCGGGGCCGTACGCTGGAACCTGCCCACCCATGATGAAAGCAGCCAGCCTCACAGCTCGGTCCCCAGCAGGCCCACCAACAGCCTCAATAAACAGTCACAGGTAAACCACATGCTTCAAACAGCTTTTTCTCTTCAGTTGGTCAGTGTCTGTTTGGCCTATTTGTGACCACCTCTGTCTCCTGCAGCAACAAACTCGCCAAAACGGCCTGAAAGATCTCCGCAGCCTGCAGGAGTGTGTGCAGTTTATCCAGCAGTGGAAGGAACAGGTGGATCAAGTGTGCAAGGTAGAAACTGGCAGACTCTTAGTATAGCCAGATTTAAGAGTGCACAGACCAGATAAAGATCACAATAACAAAATATTTATTGTATGCAGGAACTCCATCACACAACAGCACTGATTGTATGGATGCTGATACGCAGCTATTCATTAACTCTTTATAGCTCACACCCTTCACCTTATAGCATATGTAGGATGGGCGTTACCTAAGATATACAATCCGATATAATCTTCCTGTATCTTTCTGTAGTTTCATGGTGTGACATACCACCTGACACAGTGTGATGTCTTTTAGCAGGAAGCTCTGGATCCAGGAGAAGGCACCACGAAGGACGCCCAGCGTTCACAGGGGCGCGCCGAACGCAGTCTCGAGGAGAGCAGGAAGCTAATCCTGCAGTGGGCCGATGAGCTCCGCGATGTTGACAGGGTCAGTATTTACAGACGCTGATGTGAGATCAGACCAGATCAGATTGACCCTTCAAATAAAACTGAATTGAATTAAATTGAAAATCCTATTTTGATATGCAAGGTGAAACGAAAACTGTTAAAATCTAACAATGTCGTGATTAATTCTATGTCCTTAAAGCTCCTGAAGGAGACTCCCTGGCTATCTGACAGTCACGAACACGAAACTAAAGACAAGGATGCCAGTGAGGTGGCACACATGAGGATCATGGAGTGGGCAAAGGAGCTGCAGGAGGCGAGCGAGGTGAGCAGGGGGTCACTAACCAGACAACTGTTTTACTTTTATGTCATTTATGTTTTGGTTGGTGTCACGCTTTTCAAAGTAAATGGAGGCAAATCTCAAGCGTTTGTTTGTGTTGCAGCGTTGTGGCGTTCAGAGCGATGAGCTGGGGAAGGTGCTGCGTGTGCTGACTCTGAAGAAGAACCGGCTGATCAGGCTGATGCCTCTGTTGGAGTTCATCACCTGGTCGCTGCTCAAGGAAGGAAGCACGGTGAGAAACCTCTGCATTTCTACTGAATCAGCCCTTGAAAACATCCTTAAAACAATTCATGCTAATGCAGAAACTCTGGCATAAATTTGAAAATGAGATGAGGATGATGGCAAGATGTAAGTTTGAAGTGAAAGATAAATATCTTAGAGGTTTGATAGCACACAAATAAACCAGTGTGCAATAAACCAGTTGTTCATTTCGAATGTCACGAAGGGCAGTCGTGGCCAGGTTGTGTAACAGCTTTATGCCATGTGTGATCCAAGTGAACTCTGCACCTTCATTGCCCGCATCTATCAATGAAAGATCTCAGTGATTCAGTTTAACGACCCTAATCGGGCTCTGCTCTGATAGCATGCGTGTCAATGTCCCCCGTGAACGACGGGGCAGTCTGCAGATAAACTGCAGCACGCCATCACATTTATAGGTGATGGCGTGCTGTTTTATCACAGCTCTGATTGACTCTGATTTCACCTGTCACTACTACTTGCAGTTTTTTGTGCAGAGCCGTGACCTTTGAGGCTGTAATTGAGTTTTATCTGGACCTAAATTTATGAGTACCTACTGAATTATGTATGCAGTGACTAAGCATGGCATAGGTTAGTCAGTCTTAAGGAAATAGAAAGCAAAGGAATATAAAGTTAGTATGAGTTTCATTTTTATGTTTTTCCTTATCAGAAAATCGTCCCACAGTTGTGGCTCCTGGCAAAGCAAAAGTCCTGGGAAGCAGGAATTCCTCGATACATCCCCAACTCAGGTGTGTATTTTAAAATTTGCACCAAAAAAAACCTTGGGATTTTTCTTTAGCTTTTATTATGAATAATGATTCCGATGCTCAGAACAATTTGTGGAGGGGACTATTTTAAGAGCCAAACTCATCTCTTCTGCAACTATAATAAAACTCTTCATCTGTGTTTTCAGTTTGGGGGTGGATCTGCAGCGCAGCAGGTAACAACGGCCTCAGCTTTATCTCCATCCCATAAATCAACCAACAAACACCAAAGAACATGTGGTTTAATTAGCAATTTTATTTCCTTTCTCCCAACAGCTGATGTGATTCTTGACCCCATGACCAACCACCCATGGCTGCTTCTCTCAGATGACCAGCGTAAAGTCCAGGAGTCCTCTGTAGTGTCAGAGCAGCCTCAAAGCTCCCAGCGCTTCGACGAATGGCCCTGTGTGCTCGGCAGGGAGGGCTTCAGCAGCGGCCGCCATTACTGGGAGGTGAACATAGCCAATAACGGTTACTGGCGCGTGGGCGTGACCACCGCTGACTCTGAGCGGCACGGGAAGTTCACCATGATGCCAAAGAAGGGCTACTGGGTGCTGTGGCGCAGCACGCACAAATTCTACGCCTGCAGCAAGCCAGAAAAGGAGCTCCCCCTCAGCCTCGTGCCCAGGCGCATGGGGGTCTACTTGGACTACGAAGAAGGGCAGATCTCCTTCTACAACGCTGAAACCAAGTCTCACATCTACACCTTCACTGGAACCTTTAGAGAGAAACTGTACCCTCTGTTCGCCCCACTGGATGGACGCACACTCATGACGATCATCCCGCCAAACAACATCTCAGGGAAATGAGAGAGAAAATCTCACTGGACTGTAATTTGACTCCACCTGTGAGGTTTAAGTCCATAATCGGTGATAATTCTGACCCTCTGTGCCTTTTTTTGGCTTTAAAAAAAGTGTCTTTTCTTGGCAACCAGGGGGACAAAAATCACTCTAACTGAGATGTGTCAAAACAATTGCTTCTTGTATTTTTCCTAAGCGTACATAGGGTTAGGGTTGACTGTTGTCATAGCTGCTCAGACCTCACACGGTTGTAAAGAAAAGAAAAACCCAGAATATGCATTAAAAGTATAAAAGTAGGTCATTATTGAAATTAAAAGTGCGTGTTCTCACTTTCAAAACAAAATAGTTAAAACTTAATTTTGCTAAGTTTATCTTAAATATTAACCTAAAAAAAAGAAAAAAGAAAAGAATTTAAAATATTTAAAACTTTAGCTCAACAACTGAGCTTTAAAAAAAAGCTATAAGCTACAATGCTAATGATGTTAACAGCAGGAAGACTTTATTGATATTTTCAGTCATAGCATGCTAAATATAGCAAATACATTTCAGGACAATTCCGATGTTGCAGCTACAAACAGCAACTGCAGAAATGGCTAAATAGATTTATTTTTAAAACCTGCAATTTAAAGAATAAGCTAACTCTGTCCAAAACTGAAGGCAACAACATGTTGCTTATTTTTTTGACATTTTGCCTCTTCGTACATGAATGCACTTTATAATGCACTTTCAGATGGCAATAAATGTTTTATATGGCTGACTTAACGTCTTGTATTCCTATCCCTTTTGGCTTCTTTTCCTAAGATTCATAGATTTTAGAGTTGTAAACAGCTTTTTGTTTACCTTTTGTATCGTGCCAAATTGACATTGGAAGTAAACTGTGTGTAAAATAAATTGTAATTGTGTGTCAGTACTCCTTCTTGCAAGCCCACGGTCCGTACTCTTCACAGTCAGCGGCGAACAGACTCGCGCCTCCCCTCAGGTCTGCGCAGTCCCTGTGATCAGAATCCCACTCCACCATCACCCTTTGAAACACACAGTGGGAGTGAAATCTCAGTGTTTAAAGCAGTACATGACAATAAACCTCATCAAAAAATATAAACTGTAAATATGTTACATAAATAAACATATGTACAGTCACATATGGTCACGTTACATACAGTCAAGTTGATGTCATTTTGTGTGTGTTTGCCTTTGGATATGTGTGTCATGTATACGTGTATATTGTTTGTTATAATATTGTAATAAAGATCAACTTAACCTTAAATGTTTCTGTTTGTTTTCATTTTTTGATTGTGTTCTGTTTGTATTTGCCTATACATTAGATAAAGAGATCACTTTTCATTTAATAAAAACGTTTTAGTGGCTAAAACAAGCAGCATCCTACTAATATTTATTATATTCTGAGAGACATTTCTGGAGTTATTGACACTGTACTGTACAGTTTTTTGTTTGTTTCTTTTTACAAAGATAAATGTGCACAGTGTACCTCAGGAACAGCCTTCTCATCAGTGCATTTACACTACCACGGTCATCGGGAGGGCCGACATCGCACAGCCCACTGACATTTTCTACTCCCGCCTCTAGAGGACTCTGCAGTCAGACAAAAAGCCTCCAGCAGCTTCTAACCCACAGGCAATCAGCCCCTGCTGCCTGTTACTCCCTCAGTGCAAATAACTATGACTGTTTTGCATTTGCAGTCGCTGCAGCAGGCAAAAGTGTTCTGCAACTCCAGTTTTTAATAGGAAGACTTATTATTTTATATATTATTCTTTTTTATATATTTTACTCCTTGCACTTTTATTTCTAATTCTTCCAAAATGAGTTCCTTAATTATACCGCATTATTTTATTATTTTTATTTTGTTGTTGTGATATGACTTACTGCATGTAGTGCTGGACTGCCCTCCCATCGCCCCACAGCCACTGACCCTCCTGCTTGGCATCTGTCAGTCCCACCCACAGGAAAGGAACCTGGGAGAAGTTCCTCATCACTCCTTGGATGAAATCCTGTGGTGGAAGCAACATTTAGAGCAGGGATATCATCACCGACCACACACAGCCCACTGACGTGAGCCAGAGCAGTGACACGCCCCTTTCTGTAAGGTAGAGAAGATTAATCACACATTGAATCCCTCAGTCAACTTCTTATGAAAAAGTCTTTTTTTCAACAGCATGTCTGAGTTTTTCTACAATAAAGAAATGTTTCTATGTTAAATGCAAGAAATGTGTCAGCACGACTGTTTAAGACTAAATTGTAAGTAATAAATGTGTAAATTGAAAGAAAAAAGAAACTGTCCCAGACTGTCCTGTAATAATAAAAAGTGTATTTTCTTTTTTCTTTTCTTTCTTTCTTCTTTTTTTAACTGCACGGACTTGCTGTAAAACAGAGAAATTTCTGTTGTAGATAGCACAACATTTTCAACTTTTTGTCATTTAAATGTTCACTTGTTACTTAATTAACTTTAGTGTAGTATGAATGACTTCTGGGGATTTTATTAGTAGAAAATGCTGTAAAAACTCTAAAAAAAAAATGTATAAATGTATAATATCTATGCCTTTCTTGACATTTTCCAAAGCCATCCAATGGGCTTGAGTCTTTGGCGGGCTGATTCTGGTGACCAGGCAATATGTTTTCTGCCAGAAATTTTACCATTTTATTTATGTTTGTTACTATGAGTAAAACAAGTGCTGGTACAGAAAGCTGACATCCACCCAGGTTGGGCCATTATGCATTGGTTACTTAAAGAAAGCCCACATTTCATCAGTGGTCCATAGCACAAGCTGGGGTGACTGAAAGTCGAGGTGGGCAGAAGCTGCGGGATACATCTGGGAATGTCTTGTGGGAGTCCTTAGCAAAGTTCCAACTTTTAGTTTAGCAATTTGTTTGTTTTGTTTGGGGGGGGGGGGTTTAAACTTCTTTTTATGCTAACTGAGACTCTAAAGGCCTCAGTTAGCGTGTTAAATGTAAATATTTATGACATACAATTAGAAAAAGATGGAACAAGCGTGGTTTGTTTGGAAGGGATTGCATCTGAACAAAGTGCACGTGGAGGAGGGGTAATGATTTGGGCTTGTTTCGCAGCCACGTGACCTGGGGTCCCTGCAGTCACTGGGTCAACCATGAACTCCCACCAAAGTATTCAAAAGTCAAATTTGAGGCCACTTGTGTGACAATAAAACTAAATTGGGTCATGCAACAGGACACAGGCACAGCAGCAAATCTACAACAGAGCACTGAAAAAGGAAAGAATCAAGGTGTTGCAATGACCCGGTCATAGCCCAACCTGATTTATAAGCTGTGTATAAAAAAGGCTTGCAAATCTCAACGAACTGAAGCGACGCTGTGAAGTAGAGTGGGCCGAACGTCCTCAGCAGCTTAAAGTGGATCTGATACGTACAACTTCAGAACTTTAAGTGTGTGTGCTTCACATGACTTGTGCATGGTGCGTTTACCATCTCTGCAGAGTCTTCGATTACAACCAGGCTGCTGTTGTGCTGCCGGCAGAACTCGGCGCTCTCATTCCATTGCCGATTTTCCTGCAGTCCGACTGAGAAGAAGTAGCAACGTCCCATCCACCACAGCCACTTTTCAGGGCACAAACTGCATCTTGAGTCTCCACATAGGAGGAAGAAACACTGATTTAAGTGTCTGATAAAACCCTGTAAGAACTGGAGCCCCACAGCTTTTACCACTCTGTGTGTGAAGCATATCACAAATGTAACCAGAAACACGCAGCGAGTGCTGTGGTGGATCACCTGTGTTCACTGTGTTTGAGATCGTGTAAATCACCTTGAGTGACAGTGTGAAGCATCAGGTTCACGTCACGCTGCTGTTTCTGGCACTGCTGCAGTTGCTCCAGCAGTTCCTGCCTTGATGTCTGACTTGCTTCTGGTGCTGCTGTCAATATGACTGACAAATATAAATATAAAGAGAAGAGCTGAGCACTGAAGGTCCACTACAGGCAGCAACAACAAAAAAAATGAAACATCATGTCTTCCAGATGCTTCCAGAAACTAAAGCTAAAAAGCAGATTAGGATTACTTTTGCTTTTTTAAGCTACTTTAAATGCTGAGAAAGACAAATGCAACCATACTATAACCAATTTTCTTATAATAAATTAATATAACTGCATTTTTAATATTTCTTTTTCACATTTGGAGGAAATTTGAAGGGATGAACATGGAGGTGGAAACCGCAGGTTTAGAGAGACAAACACAAACAGCAGAAAATAGTAGATTAAGTATGTTATATATTATGTTCTGCCAGGTTATACCCTCTGGGGGGGGTTCTCAAGTACCCCAAAGTTCCATCATAGGACCCCTAAAAATAACCATAGTAATCACAGTAATAATAATGTGTTTTAGTCTTATTTTCTGACGTTGTCTTCAAATTTTGTATTTTGCCGTCTTGTGTACTGGAGACTCTTTACCTGAGATATAGGAAAACTGCAAATGCTTCTTACAATGAGGGGGGGGGGGCACTGCTGTGCCTTATAAAGTGTCTGCTTATGTATGTTTGGTTATTTAGGCTAAATGTCTGGAAATTATCAGCTAATTTTATATTTTAAAGCCATCCTTGGCTGCCATAGCTGCCAGCCAAGGAGGTGGTTTACTTTATTATTTTAAGTGTTTTTATATATATATTTTAAATAATGACAATATTAATTATTATTATTATATAATTATATTATTCTATTCATTTCTAGTTATATGCAATGTGTTTGCTTGTGGGTGTCAGAACGAAGAAGGAATACTTGCTGAAAAAA